TCCTTCACGTGTCTCCTCTCTGCCGTTGTGCAAACCCTGCCGCTATCCCAGTGCTGGTACACGGATTCCGTTGCGTTTCCACCGGTTATCGAGTTCCCGGCTGAGGACGATTGGACAAGTTGTTGTCGGTTCAATTGGCGTTCTTCCGTAACGAGCGAAAGGAGCGTGTTATGATGCTCGCGAGCCTGTATGCAATTTCATATCTGTTTCCACGCCGTCCCCGCCCTCGCACCCGTGCCCCCCCCTCTCTCTCTCTCTCTCTCTCTCTCTCTCTCTCTCTCTCTCTGTGTGTGTGTCTCTTGCTCTCGCTCTTGCTCTCCACCAGCAACCCTCGAAACCCTTTTTATTGGAAAGTCGATATCGACGCGCGCTTTCGACGAGAACGCGATCCCAACTGGTAGCGAAATTCTTGAATTACGAGGGGGAACGCTGCTGCCATGGTGTGATACGGTGTCGCTGCAAACTGGGTCGGATTCGACCAATGTTTCCCATGCTTTAAACCTCGCTGTACCACGCCCGGGTCTTTTCGGACCCAGAACACGAGGCCTGCCTCGACCGTTTGACGCTTAATGTCCGTCTGTCGTTCGCTTATGTTAGAGCGACGACAACAAGCACAGAAACAAACGCAGAAATTGTAATTACTGTGCAAAACAGTACGGTAAGATAATTACTGAATTATATTCAATTAGGGAAATAACTTGAATACTTTTCATTAGTTGAACTTTCAATTAGAACATTTATTTAATTAAAGAAGGTATTAAATATGTTCACTTTCTATGAGATGTCCGCGTGAATCGACACGACTTAATTCGGTAAAAACGATAACGATTAGAAAAGGCAAAATATCACATCAGGTCAGTAAATAAAAAACCATTTGTTAGATTGATTTTTGTATTCAACCTATTTGTTGAAACTCAACAATAATCATAATAATGATGATGATGATAATAACAACAAAACCGTTCAAAATGTTTGTATAGATAAGGTCATGGGTCTGTTTAGACCCGACCGCGGGGCTGCGCGTGGACGCCCAACCCCGATACACAATTAGGTCGGACAAGTAAACACAGAGATGAGAGAAATACCGCAAACATATTTCTACATCGAACGAAAATCGGCCCGTCGTTATTCCTGTCGAAGAATTTTTTAATAAAAATTTTTTCGCCCATGTTTACATGATATTTTTCTCTTATTCTCGCTGGTAGAATATGCTGACACCGTTCCGCCGAAAAAAACCAGGTACACCACGTACATAATACTGCCAAAGTCGAGCAAAAGCGTAAAATGAGAATAAAAGATTGTCGACTGAAAATCGTCCGATTGTTGAGAGCCGTGCCGCTCGAACGGCTCCCTGCAGGACGGGGGATAGGGGGGTGGTCTATTAGCAAGACGGGAAGCCGCAAAATTTTTCGATCGAATCGAAGGAATAAGAGTCGCGATAAAATTCTGAAGCCGAGGGGGAGCGGCGTTACGCTCTCGTCGGAATGTTCCATCATTCTAAGATGCTGGAGCCGCGGCGAAATTTAATCTTCCGAATTGACTCTGCTTTTATTCCGCAGCCGGGAGAAGTAGCATAGCGTCTGGCCGCGCAAGAAACGCATTCCCCGAGCGTGCAAACATCGCGGCAACAATCGAGACGCGACACGGGCTACGATTCCTAGATAATTTCCATGGAAATCTAGCCCGGCCCGAAATCGTCAAACTCCCTCCCGAAAGCGTTTATTAGCTCAGGAGGAAGGTAAACGCCTCAGGTGGTAACTTTAAGTGACTCAGCCCGTATGGAATATTTGCGCACGTTACGCGTTCCTCGCCCAGGCCTCGGGAACCCTCTCCGCTCGGCTCGGCGGCTCCGCTCGGCTCGGCACCGCTCGGCTCGGCACCGCTCCGCTCCGACCCACGAGCCGAAGGGTGCTGAGTTATGGCAGCCACTGGCATTGTGTCTGTTCCGCCTGCATTATCACGGAGGCCCACCGCGGAAGTCTTCCGTGTATTTGTGCAACGCTAGGCCAAGAGTCCCGTGGAAACAATTAATCTAGCCCTCTGATTACTCCTCCGACTACTGAAACAAGCCCCACCACCGCTCCCGCGCCGAGTCTCGCTCCACCGACGACTTCAGACGTCAAAACTCGAGATATTAATATGTTCTACCGGATGGCAGAACGAAGACCAACTCTCACCCCCGACCACCACCACTACCACCCTCAACGATCCTATCCTCTTCGCACCCTTCTCGACTCGAGCATACTCTTCTGGATTCAATTATTACACCTACATTCTCCTCGAATCGCGAGGGATCACTTTCTCAAAAGTTTTAGGCGTCTCGCCCGGACATTTTTGCTGAACAAATATCTTTTCCTGTTCGAATAAGGGTTGGACAATTGTGGCGCGCTTCGCTCGTTAACGATCCTGTTGCGCGAAGAAGTTTGGACAAATTCGGAAAGTTCGAGATACTCCGATAACAAATGTCCTTGTTCAAATTATCTCGTTTACAAGGAACTGCTCTGTAGAGATGTCTATTAACCCTCGGACGATCGATCGTTCTCGGAACTATACAATCGACGATGTTTGCGACGATTCTCAGCTTTATTTGTCGATTTTTGCGAACATATTTTTCTACATACTTTATGTATAGGCTTTTATCAGTCTTCCTGTTGTTCCTAATATTTGTTTAATTCAATTGCTGAAAGTTGTATAATCAAGTGAACGATTTGAATACACTGGATCCAAATCCAAGCCGCAACAGGTGCAGAAGTTGTAAATAGCTCTCTTGTATTGCACAGTAAATTCTCCCTAATTGATCCTCAGCTTGGAAACAAAAATTGACAATTTGGGACGATTACTCGAGCCTCGCGGCACGTTTTTATAGTTGTTGACAATCGATAAAAGCGAGCTTTTATCGATAACGATAATAATCGTATCTCCTCTTACCGAATTGTTTATTTTTGTGAGGGTCAATTAGGGTGAATTTACTGTAATATGATTTCTCTTTTACGTTTCATTATACAGCCTTTCTGTAGTATATCACAAAATAGGTACTAACCATAGAAGAACTAATCTGTACATAAACTATATTATATATATATCGTCGATAATTCCTTTTTTATGATCTATTTGATTTATACAATCTGTCAAATGACATTTAGTAAAATTTATAAATAAATTTTACTAAATTTTACTATATATATAATAACATATAATGACATTTAGTAAAATTTACATCATTATATGTTATTATATATTATTATATATATATATAATAATAATAGTAATATATAATAACATATAATGATATAAATTTTACTAAATGTCATTTGACAGATTGTTTAAATCAAATAGATCATAAAAAAGGAATTATCGACGATTGGAATAATTTGTTAAACATCGATAATCGTGATACAAAAGATTAAATTTTCACATCAAATAATTTTACTGACATTTTTGCTCTTTTCGCTTTGAAAGAAGACAATTGTTTACGAGATAATTGTTCTCATTTTAAACAGTCAAAGGCAAGTAGTAATCGCGAACAATGGAAAACACGATTCTACATATTTCATTCGACTTTTCGAGTGTCTGGCGAGCTTCGATTATCGAATTCTAATTGATACACGTAACGGAAACGGTACGATCACGTTTACAGTGTCGACAAAGAGACACGCTGTTCGTAGGATTGATACAAGTACAAGTGTTTTCAAAACGCTATATTGTTGCTGTCAATGTTTTGTGGTTTGCGTGTCTCGTCACGCGAACCCAACAAGCGTTCTACAATTACATAATTAAAGAAGCATGCAACTCGAGCGTACGAACATTAATTACACCGTGAAACGGTACATGAATGAAAACAGAATAATTATAACGCTTTGAATGAAAATTACGTCGTGGAAGCTTGAAAATGAGACAACCGGTTACGCAACAAGCTTCGTTTTTTGCGAGCTGCTTCGAACCGAATGAAATAACGCTGTCTTAGTTAAAACGTTGAATGCCACGCCGGTTTTACCGTAGCGCCACGATGAATTTTCTTTTATGTGACACATATAATATTATCTGCAATAGATAAGTTACAGTGTATAACCATGTTTGACATGTTAATTGCGACATGGGTCACTGTTTGAATTGACGATGGTAATAATACAAAATTTTAAATATTGACATTTGTTTTAAATTATATATATTTCTATATATATAATTTATATATATAGAAATAAAGCGCGCCGGCCACCGGTGGCCCCTATGGCGTCACCACTAAGTTAAGTGCCGGTCACCGGTGACCCCCGTGGCATTCAACGTGTTAATTGCACGATGCGACCGTTCTTACCGAAATCTTATAATGCTCGATAGCAAGACGTAAGACCTCTTGTAAAATTTCTACTTCCGAGGACATTCTCAACGCGTTGACAGTAATCGATTAGTAATTTTTTCGTTGACGTATTCAGTGTAGGAATCTAATTAGAGATAGGAAAGTTGATAAACTGTTCAGTTATCGTACATCTATATTTTTCGTCTGTTATTTCTGTCTAGGCCCGGCGAGGCCTTCATCTTAATTGCAACGCTATAGTAATACCCGCGTTAACACGTCGACTGCCGAAGATAAACCCCAAATAAATTCCCACAATATCACAATCATTGAATTTCTGAAACCGGAACTGAATAGTTAAAATTTACCATTATATAATTGTTAATAATTTATTTTATTATTATAGTAATCATTGGTATAGCGATTATTTAATTTAATTTATTGTTATGAGTAATTATTAGCTCAGCTCTTTCGTATTCTAAAAATCCTAGTAACATTCAGTTTGTTCAATACATTGCCACAAAAATAAATTCCAAGATCTAGTTAAAAATTAGTGTTACAGGTGTCGAAGAACGAATGAAAGGCGTTCGAAAGCGATTAATAATTCGGTCCGTCGAAGAACGAAGAACTCGTCGTTCACGGATTAAAGCAGTGGTACGAGGAGAACTGGTACGTGAATCCGGATGAAAGCAGAACCAAAGAGACTCACCTACGACGTGCAGGTAGCCGTACTGTGTTTTCGCGGTGACCGTGTTGATCTGACACATGTACTTCCCCTCGTCGCCCTGCTGTACATCTCTGATATGTAGGAACCAGGTCCTGTGCTTATCGTGTGACACCGATATCCTGGAGTTCCTGGTGATAACGTGATGCTGCACCGTCAGGATAGCGCCCCCATTCTCGTAAAGCATCCAAGCCACCTGAAACGGAAAGAGAGACCCCTCTTCATTTCACAGAAAATTGCAGCCGACTTCTACTTTGCAAAAACTTCAAACGTCGACTTCAATTAGATCTATTGCGGTTTATACATTTTTCCTGTCGAGTTACGTTCGCGATACCTGTCCACGTTGCCGATCAATTAATCGGCTATTTCCGTCGGTATTATTCGGGCATTGCACGAGAACAGATCCCGGGAAAATTATAATTGACGCAGCAGAAATTGCTCGGGCGATTAATTATCGGGCCGTAAAGTATAATAGTATTAACGAAAAATTTGCCGTGCTCGATTTTACCGGTCTTTTGTTTTCGGACGATTGAAGTTATAAAACTGCGATCCCGGAGAGAGACGGAGTAGACATTATTCGAGCGTCCGATATGAAAATCGCCGAGCATCTAAATAAATTGAATCTTGATATTTTCGCAAGCCGTATCGGCAAATTGAACTTTTCTGAAAAATTTTGCGAATCGTTTGCAAAATACAGAAAGACTGCATAGATACACTTATTCCTTCGCTTGGCAATTATTATAAATTACGAATAATATCTTAAGAGAGTGAGGTGGGTGGGAAATCAATGAAAGTGGTGGAAATCACAGCGAATGAAATATTCGCGTGACTAAGCGAAAATAGAAAGAACAAATTCAAGGTGTGGCTTAATCTAAAACTAATCTAAAATTTCTAACCAAAATTTGTCAACCTCAACAAATACAATTAAATGTAACTACCTAACAGTGTTTCAAAGTGTTGTTTTTCACAAATTGACGAACGTGTGAAACAGTTCAATACAATTAATTGATTTGTTTCATCTCTAACTTTATCTCCTGTTGTGCTTTAAAATTATTTATTTCTGTTATCTTTATTTCTGCTGTGCTTCAAGATTACTTACAAATGTGATTTATTTTGCCAAGGAAAACGTTTTATATGCTTCTCCAAATTTTTCTAGGTCAGCTTTGCCTCTGTTTCCCCTGCAGTAGCTACATAGATGTTTATTTCGTTTCCTAATTATTTTAAATTAAATCTTAAGTTAAAAATAATTCAACAGTGTCGTGAAATTCCTCGAATATTTTTATTGTTTTAGATTTGAATTGATAATTTTTGTGATAAATGCATAAAATCCGCAATCCGGTGATCAAGGACACGCGTGATCCCAAAAGATGGCAAATCCAAGAAGTAGAATTGGAAATAGAAAGCGAGAGTGTAAAAGTGGATAGATGAAGATCCGAAGAATAGAAGAGGAGCGTTCGCGTAATTAACACTAGATTTACGGAACCCGTCGAAATGACGGGTCACTAATTTTTTAATTTACGATTATTCATATCGTAAAGATACATTTCTGAGTTATTTATTCAATTGTTACGACACTTACGGCAAATGTTACAATAACGCTTGTTAAAAATCAGAATAAATGTCTTATTGTTACTTTCATAAGCTAATTTAAAACAGCTGTTTTTTGTGTTCCGTAAATCTAACGTTAAGGGAAAGCAGGAGAAATTGGACGAGCGCGGATGCGGAAAGGGAGAGCGGGACCGGAAGAAATTCGTGGAGAGGTTGAAACGAGAGAGTGTGTCGGGTGAGATGTGCTTAAAAGAGGAATCTAATCGCGCAGAATCGGACAAATGGTCGCCTCGAACGGGAACCAAACACGGGATCCGGCCGAATCCCGGGAATGATCTACGGCGCTTTCGAGCGGCCAAATGATCTACGGACTCGCCGGGGTTATGGATATTCATTGGTAAAATGAATCGCCGGTGGGATTGCGGTCGGACTCCTTACGGGTGAATTTCAGGGAAGGATAACCGGGAAACGTGACGACGTCTATGTACACGAACACGCTATTTACGGGAAATGTTTTCTACTGCGCGCTGTAGGACCGAGCAAACAGCGCTCTCGATCTGCAAACACTCGGACCTCCATTAAGGTTCTCATTGTCCCGACGATAAATTTGATTGGCTGTTGATACGCGACAATCGGGCGTGTATAGCGAAACACGTTGTCGTCATCGCGACGGACTTCTCGGCGAACGATTCCTCCCGAGTGTTGACGCAACGATCCTCCTCCGGCCGACAGAAAACAGCTGGCAGCGGAATATTTCACGGAGAAATCGCTCGTGATTCAACTCCGTTCGCGAACGATCGTCGCTTCTGGATCTCTTCTTCCGACTTTCTGTCATCACGCGATTTACAGTGGGACCCCGATTGTCCAAACTAGTTCGTGGAACGCGAGTGTATGGATAATAGAATAATCATCGCTGGTACAGTAGAACTTCCATTATCCGAACTCAAACTTGATAGCTAATTTCTTTTTATTATAGACAAATTATTAATACAATAACATAAAATGATAGATCGAGGCTTAAACGAGATCCTTCAACAGTTTCATCGTTATTACCTTCAAAGTCCAAAGTATTTTTAGGTCGATGAATCGACCTTGAAATGCACTACCCGTTTAAATAAAGAAAAATACACAGTTCTGTTAAAAGAAACCAAGGTAATCTTGAAATCTCAGAAGCGTGTCCACCCAGCAAAACTTCGCGATCGTCATTGCGATGTTCCCCTCGAAACAGAGTTAGGGTCATTTGAAACATTTTTTGAAAGGAACCGTAGTTTAGGAGATAATTGAGTGCGTTACTTCGAATAGAACACACCGTATACTTCGCTAAATCGTTTGTTCCAACGATAGTATTTGATTTCTATCCGTAGTTCTAGATTAATACGTGCAGCACGATGTTACGGTTGTTTTACAAGAGGCGTCCGCTTTCGCTGCTTATGGCTACGTAACCAGGATTGTGCGCATCAACGATGGCGATTCTTCCAAGATTTCGAAGCCATCCGTGCCTTTTTATGGAACCGTAAATCCGGCTTTCCGAGGGCGAGCCGGCGAAGATTGAAAATTTAACTACCGATAAGAATATGCGTTGATGCCGGAGTAAACGTTCGAGTTGCTTAAGGTATCCTCGAAAGAAAGATTGTCGGAAATTCAAGAACGCTAGGTGTACACCGACGCGAAAATAGCGAACGAGAACGAATTATAGCTAATCATTTCTATTGGATATGCTGCAGAACAATTTATGTTCGCTAATTCTTCGGCTGACTTTTTCGAGCTGAATTTCGAACCTTCGTAAAACTGCAAACAGTTGTCTCGCAGACAACGTATACAGAGAAATGAAGTGAAAGTGTGGCGGACCAGACATAAAAAGACACGTCCTTCAAAAGCGGGGTGTGCATATGCCTTTTTCGGGTTTTCCCGACGCAAGGCGTACACACCGCAATAAAACAATAAAAACGTTGGGACACAGCTTCGGACCATAGGTCCCGGATCACCCCGGTCGGAAAATCTTCGGGAAAGGCCTTCGCCCTTCCCAAGGACTTTCCCTTACCAATTTCAATACGTTCTCCCCAATAAATACGAGGACCTCTCGACCGGGAGAAGTCAGTTAGCAAGTTTTCCTCCGACTCTCAACGTGTTCATATTTCTGTCTCATCCGTCACTCGTTTACCTTTACCTTCTACACACTGTACCTCATCGCCTTTTGTTACAAGTTATATTAAAGTTCTCGTTATATAAAAACCAAAAAAACTCTCTCGGATTATTTTATATAAACCGTNAATCGGACAAATGGTCGCCTCGAACGGGAACCAAACACGGGATCCGGCCGAATCCCGGGAATGATCTACGGCGCTTTCGAGCGGCCAAATGATCTACGGACTCGCCGGGGTTATGGATATTCATTGGTAAAATGAATCGCCGGTGGGATTGCGGTCGGACTCCTTACGGGTGAATTTCAGGGAAGGATAACCGGGAAACGTGACGACGTCTATGTACACGAACACGCTATTTACGGGAAATGTTTTCTACTGCGCGCTGTAGGACCGAGCAAACAGCGCTCTCGATCTGCAAACACTCGGACCTCCATTAAGGTTCTCATTGTCCCGACGATAAATTTGATTGGCTGTTGATACGCGACAATCGGGCGTGTATAGCGAAACACGTTGTCGTCATCGCGACGGACTTCTCGGCGAACGATTCCTCCCGAGTGTTGACGCAACGATCCTCCTCCGGCCGACAGAAAACAGCTGGCAGCGGAATATTTCACGGAGAAATCGCTCGTGATTCAACTCCGTTCGCGAACGATCGTCGCTTCTGGATCTCTTCTTCCGACTTTCTGTCATCACGCGATTTACAGTGGGACCCCGATTGTCCAAACTAGTTCGTGGAACGCGAGTGTATGGATAATAGAATAATCATCGCTGGTACAGTAGAACTTCCATTATCCGAACTCAAACTTGATAGCTAATTTCTTTTTATTATAGACAAATTATTAATACAATAACATAAAATGATAGATCGAGGCTTAAACGAGATCCTTCAACAGTTTCATCGTTATTACCTTCAAAGTCCAAAGTATTTTTAGGTCGATGAATCGACCTTGAAATGCACTACCCGTTTAAATAAAGAAAAATACACAGTTCTGTTAAAAGAAACCAAGGTAATCTTGAAATCTCAGAAGCGTGTCCACCCAGCAAAACTTCGCGATCGTCATTGCGATGTTCCCCTCGAAACAGAGTTAGGGTCATTTGAAACATTTTTTGAAAGGAACCGTAGTTTAGGAGATAATTGAGTGCGTTACTTCGAATAGAACACACCGTATACTTCGCTAAATCGTTTGTTCCAACGATAGTATTTGATTTCTATCCGTAGTTCTAGATTAATACGTGCAGCACGATGTTACGGTTGTTTTACAAGAGGCGTCCGCTTTCGCTGCTTATGGCTACGTAACCAGGATTGTGCGCATCAACGATGGCGATTCTTCCAAGATTTCGAAGCCATCCGTGCCTTTTTATGGAACCGTAAATCCGGCTTTCCGAGGGCGAGCCGGCGAAGATTGAAAATTTAACTACCGATAAGAATATGCGTTGATGCCGGAGTAAACGTTCGAGTTGCTTAAGGTATCCTCGAAAGAAAGATTGTCGGAAATTCAAGAAC